GCTCTCTTTAATGTAGGTATTTGTTCTTGTTATGATTTTGTCTGAACTTAAAAAAATTCCATCAAATCAAGTCAAATTGCAGGGGGGGAGGGAATATCACTATTTGATTTTTAGAGCACACATTTGATAAGTGGAAAAAGTTTATGAATAATAGTTAATGGAGTACGTTTAGTTTTTTTATTTCATCTCCCTACTGGTGTTACAAATGCATGCTGGTTAGAAATATCATATTTTATTTGTTAAGCCTCTTTGTAAAGGGAAATAAATAAAAATTAGTATTTCACGAAAATGATCAATAAATGATCTGCATTCAGTTATGATTCAGTGGGTGATGGATATATTACTGCTCACTGCCTAAAAGTTATTTAATAGTCTTGTTAAAATGACTTCCATAATAAAGGAATACATGAAAACAAATATTGAAAATGGCTATTGTGTTGTCCATCTGTCTCTCTGGCATAAAGGCTCTAAGGGGACTATGATAAACAGGGAGCTTTCTGAATACCTTCAGAGAATATACAAGCAACAGAGAGTAAAAACAGTCTCTATATTCTTAAAAAAAGTGACAGAGGGACATGAAAGGCTCCTGGCTTTCCATCTCACTGAGTATTTCCCAGTAGAAGATTTATAACCTTCGCAGAGTTTTGATTACTCAGAAGCAGGATCTGATCATTTGAAAGCTTATTAGAAACAGGTCAAAGGTATGCATCATAGATGTTTAGAAATAGAAGATATCTGTTGAGTCTATTTCCTGGGGTCACTTCAGGATTGTTCCCTACTGACAATTAGTTGGGTTTTGTCTAGATTGTTTTTATAATCTTTAAGATTATGGGGACCATGTCATGTGGTAGATGACCATCACAATCATTGGCAGGGCGGAGGGGGAGGAAAAAATTCAGTCACATGAGATAAAGAAATCCACTTACAATCACAGGAGAAGGACCATATAGATTGTCACTCCAGTATTCCATGGAGAACATGTGACATTGTCCAGGATTCCTATCCCACAATGTGCCATAGAAGAAAAATTTCCTCACCACCAAAACTGGTCATTACTTCAGTCCTATATGTGTGAATAAGAGTCACTAGAATCATGAGACTCCATGAAAACGTAACTTTGCTGGGCAGAAGACCAGTAAAAGGCCTATATCCCTATCTAAAACTTGGGTGCTGACATTCAGCACCAATTTTAGAATAAAATGAAGATGTAGCCCTAGAAAACAAGGACAAAAGTAAATGTTCAGCCCACTGATGGAATTAGACAAAAGTAATATAAACTTTATTTTAAAAATACATTTGGTGAATTTTGAGTTATGGAAGATTATTGGATAGTTGCCAGTGCTGCAGAGTGAAAGCCTTTATTTTAAAACAAAATCTGCTTTTCTGTTCTTGATGAAGATATGAAAAAGTAGAATTATGGAAATAACTGACAACGAAATATGAATGATTCAATATTTGAATAATTTAGCATTTTGCTGCAAAATTGTCCTTAAAAAAGTTAGAGAAATCCCAGTTTTAGATTCTCTTAAACTTTGACACTTTGAGTCAATTTTCAAATGTGACAAGTCATGAAATGTCTATAACATTGGGAATAATTTAGAAATGAAAATGGACTCTATCAAATTAGAATGTCAGAGAAAATATGAAAAGTGAATGTTTCAAATTTATTTCAGGAAAAACATACTTATGTGTAAACAGAGTTCTTCAAGATGCAGGATCACTTTGGCTGCGTCTAGACTGGCATGATTTTGTGCAAATACTTTTAACGGAAAAACTTTCAGTTAAAAGTATTTGCGCAAGAGAGCGTCTATACTGGCATGTGCCTTTGCGCAAAAGATTTGCTTTTGTGCAAAATCATCTGTGCCAGTGTAGACGCTCTCTTGCGCAAGAAAGCTCCGATGGCCATTTTAGCCATCGGGCTTTCTTGTGCAAGAAATTAACGTGGCTGAATACTTGCACAAGAGGGCTGATCCCTGAGTGGGAGCATCAGAGTATTTGCGCAAGAACTACTGATTTTGTACATTACAAAGTCAGTGTTCTTGCGCAAATACTCGCAGCCAGTGTAGACAGGAGGCAAGATTTTGTGCAAAAGCAACTGCTTTTTCACAAAATCATGCCAGTCTAGACGCAGCCTATCTGTATTCCACTGTTAGGTATATATGGTCCTTGAGGCTGAGATTGGAATTCTCTCATGTATTCATCATCAGGTGGACACTAATTCCACAGGTGTACTGCCCTTGTGCCAGAGGGTTATAGATCTTGCTCCCTCTTATTTGTTGGCATAGAATACAGTTATCCTATTGGTCAGCCTCCCCTGAAGAAATTGATATTGGATAAATGGCAACCTTTGCCAACCTCCCAGACTTACCTCAAGTCCAGAAGATTTATTTGCATCCTAGAGACATGAGGAGTCCATGTCTCTGGCACTGTCTTCATTCTGTTGAGTGCTCCAGACTGCCAGAGAGGCATCCGTAATTAACGTCTTCTGAGAAGGGGACAGACCCATTTTTTTGTCCTGCCACCAAGCCAGAGAGTCTTGTACCTTGAGAGGGATCATAACTAGCTTTCCTTGCTGTGGGTGCACAACCCAAGAAGCCAGAAGACAACAGAGTAAGAGTCTTGCAAACAAGGTCACAAAGGAGCAATACACTTTGTGACCCAGAAGGATGAGACATGTACACACTGATGTTTGTGGACTCTTTCTGAACTGCTTGGTATATGAATTGTTTGGAACTTGTGTGTGGAAAAGTAAGTTCTGGCTCCAAGTGAGTCTAGAGCTGTTCAAACAGCAAGGAGTCCTATGGCACCTTATAGACAAACCGAAGTGTTGGAGCATAAGCTTTCGTGGGCAAAGACCCATTTCATCAGATCCATGTCATCAGAGCTGTTCAGAAGAACTGTATTGGAACTTCAGTAAACTTTCTATATTTATGCTGATTTCTAGAGATGTTAGGACAGTGAGTAAGGATGCTATTGATTATATTACCTTCAAAGATGGTAATACCCCCATCAGAATCCAATTCTCTAGATATGGACAGACTGTTGAGATGAGATGATGGAAGTGTGTTGCACCACGACTAAAAGGGCTTGTGTGATTACCTGGATTGTTGTTGCAAATATAAAGGGAAACAGCCCGTACTGTGGGTTGTTCATAGCTGTCATGCAATCAGGTAGAAATAGCTGTCATGCACTCCTGTTTCTGCCATTGTTTGTTTGTGGTAGAAACAGGAAACTTTACTACTACCCACTCTATCCCATCTGCAATGAAACAATCTGCCCTGTAGTTGAGATGATCTTAGTAGCTTTTCAGAGATAATAACAATCTTATTCTTTGTCTGCCTAAAAAGGGAATTGGAGAGAGATGTGAAGCATATCCTAACTGTATTCCACTGTATTCTGTTCATTACCTGAGAGGGAGGATGAAAACTAAAATTGCATCATTCTGAGCCTATAATTTGCAGAATACCTCATACCCCTAATCAACTAAAGCAAAATCTTGTGCATATAGAACATTATATAACTGCAGAGCAGAGCCTCAATAGTTAACTAACTCGTGTAAAACTGCACTACACTAAACACCACACAAACTGTAAACTTGCTGGTTATTTCCTCTTTAAACAGCCATGGGAAAATGAACTTTGTAAAAAAACCACACTGAATATATGTTAGGATGTTAAAATTAGAGCCTGACCCAGGCAGGAAGATCAGACAAAAAGGAAGTAGAGAAAAAGTATAAGGCCACTGGTGGAATCCTCCACAGAGGTAACTTCAGGCCAGTGATAGCCTTGTCTTTGATTTACACATGTCAAGGCTAAATTCCCACTCTGGCATGATGAATGCAGAAGTGGGGGCTCACAAAAGTACCCCAAAACCCTATCTTTCCAGGCTTTGGTATAAAACTCCCTCCCCCCCAAAAAATCTTAAAAAAACCCCTAGATTTTGAGAAAAAAAAACATGCTACCACCACCCAACTAATGGTAAGAAAACCAGGGAAGAAATCACTTGGGAAATCTCAGCCCTAAAATAAAACTAGGACATTAAAAAAAATTAACCAATACCAGGTTAATACAAAAAGAGAAAGAACTTTTATTATAACCACAATACTCCTGTTACAAGCATAATGACTAGATGGAAAAGTCACCAATTAATATACTCATGGGGGACCTTCATGGGCCAAAAGCTTAGTTAAAAAGGAGAGGAAAACCCATTTTTAAATACACAGACATCAGATTCCCATACCCAAACCATAAAACAATAGAAAAGATTTATCTAAACTTTACCCTACTTACAGATAGCGAAGAGTCTTTTCTTGGAGAGAGACATTTTGTCTGTCTCCCTCAGTTTCTGGAGAGAAAACTGCTCAGGGATAAAGGAGGGAAAAACCAAAACATTCTTTTGTCTCAGTTTGAAATCCCTATCTGCATTTCTATTGGCTGAGCAGTTACCTGGCTAGGTACAGTTAACCCCCTTAGTCTCCAGGCTGCTGCCAAGCTCTCATGGTCATGACAACCCATTCCCTGTCTCTTCCAGCCACTGTTCCTGGCTGCGGAATAGGGCTCCATGCTACAGAATGCAGTGCACACAACTTTCATGGCAGTGTTGCATTGAGTCCCTCTATATGCAGTGGAACCACGATGCCTCCAAATTATTGGATGTTTTAGAAAATATTGACCTATGTGACTTGCTAACGGTGACATAGCCAGACAGTAGCAAAACCAGAGCATCTACCCCTCCCCACACCAAGGGGGAAAAAAGCCTTCATTATCACTTTCTTGCTCTTAACCTTTTTAGGGACTATTCTGTACACTAATACTCGCATGACTAGTACTCTGTAACTTTTTCTTGCTGGGTCTAGATTAGAATCAATATGCAGGTTGGACCTCCCAAAACCAGGACTTCCTCATCTGGCAATATCTATGGTCCTTCCTGGACCAGGGAGTCCTGGCTGGGGCTGGTGGCTCAGAGCCCAGAAGAGCTAAGACTGGTGCTGGAGCCCTGGTAATGCAGCAACGGCCTCAGCGGTCCTAGCAGCAGGGCTGGGTATGTGGCAGTTGCTGGCAGAGGGGCTAGGGCCAGGATGTGACAGCCCCAATAGCAGGTCTGGGGCTGGAGCAGTCCGGGATGCCGGAGCCACAGAAGCACTGTAGCACAGCAGGGGCAGAGGGCTGCCAGAGCCTGCAGCGGGGAGGGGACTGGTCTGAAGATCAGGTAACAGAGAACCTCTTCTAGTCCAGCAAATTCCCTCATTTGGGACTGGTCAGGTCCTGAGGGTGCCAAACCAGAGATGTCCAACCTGTACTGCATTTCTCTTAACAAGTGACTAAGAGTTGTACTGTAAATATTTTATGACATTTATTTATTGAATACATTATTTAAAAAATGAAGCTATCACATATATAAATGGGGAACATCTGCAGTGGGAAAAAATAAGTTGTATGAAAGTACGTAACCAACATTAGTCTAAAATAGACTTGTTCCTTCAAACCAGTCATAAAAATGACATCAAGACTTACTACGCTGAGCACTCAGGCAAAAAGGTTTAGAAAGCAGCAATGAACAAAAAAACTAAACACAATTCATTTCTTCTTTTTGTTTACTGCTCAAATAAGTTACTGTAAGGGATAGAGTACATGAGCCTATATAAAGTAACTATCTGAATTTCCTTTGCTCCGTGCCTCTTTGTAAATCACTTGTAATTGGCTATGTGACCATTGACTGGCAAGTTTCTCCCTTCACCCACCTGAGCCATCTATTAGCCCAAATATACTACATATGGAATTACATGTGATATTTCTATTAGCACCAGAAGCACTTGTCTGTGATTAATGTTATTGCTGCAAATATTACAAGAATTAATAACGATTTACCACTTATTGTAAAGCATTCATAATTTCACAATAGCTAGAAAGACACATTTATTTCTGAACTGTAACAATTTGGCACCATTTTCCATTGATTTTTATTCCTTTCAGACTGATTTTTTTTTAAAAAATCTTCCCCTGGCTGCTTCTTTCATTTGACTGATAGGAATATATCTGTGACTGATATGAATCTATGCCTTCATGATGTGTGTATGTATTTAAATGATTAATTGTGTCCTTGGTAGTTATTCAGAAGCTATGCAAACCTGGAGTTTAGTAAATGCCTACGAAAAGGTGATTGGCATGTAGGGATGCACTGTACACCAGTCCTGTGACTAGGGCTAGCATTTGCTAATTTTCTTTGATATTGTCAATTATTAATACTATTTTCAAGCTGGCTGGCTCTATATTTATCATCAAGAACATTATTTAGTGACTTCTTTGCTTCTGTCCCAAGGCACACAATAACAATTTGCCTTTAAAAGATTGTTGATTCTAATAATTTGCAGGACAATATGTCAAAGAAAATTGATGTGCACCAAATATGAAATATGTTAAAAGTGCTCTTTCAATCTGTCTAAAATCCCAAATGAAGTTTTCTTCAACGAAGGTTCATTTCATACATCTAAAGCTAGGCAAAATATTCTTCAGACAATTTATTTGATCATTTTAGCCCTTAATTACTCATAGCAAGACTTCAGCTTTTTAAAATGTGCTTATTACTTAATGGATTTTTTTACTATAACTGCAGAAAACAGATTTTATGCAAAGTTATTCGAATACATGAGATGCTGGTGAAGTGTTCACTACGGCAAGGTTTTTGACTGTTGAGTATTCATTGCTACATTGTTTCCTCATCTCCTCCATCTATCTACATTCAGTTATATATTCAGTTGTCCTTTCTTGCTTATTCATAAAATCTAAGCCTTTTGGGGCCGGAAGAATTTATATTTATACTATCTAGCACATCCTGGTCTTGGTCTATGATTAGGGCTCTTAGGCTATCCAACAATTAATAAATCAGCATAAATAATCTGACTGGCCACCTAAAACACGTGTTGTTAATTCTACTCCATGTGCAGGTGACTAAAAAGTAATCTATGGAATCCTGAATTTGTGTGAAAAGCTTTTTTTTTACACACATTCAAACACTTTGAAAAAAAACATTAAAAATTTAAATTAAAATTCAGTAAAATAGTTAACTGTTTTTTAGACTTTTCTTTATGAAAAGTAAATTGAATTTTATCACTGTATGCATTAAGAAATCAATATAGTTGTTTATTTCAATTCAGGCTTTTGTACCTAAGATAAAAGGTACAGAATGACTTTTCAATCACTAAAATGGCAGCAGTTAGAGAGGATGAAAAACACATTTGCTTATCATTGATATTAAATATTTGCCTTCATTTCAATTCCAATATCTTTCCTCTCTCTTCCACTTAAAGTAATTTAGTTATCTATTCCACTTTATTTTTGACTGCCTTGTTGTAAAACGTTAGTTAATGGCTCTGCTAAAGAAAATGGTTGCATGTTAGAATACTTAATCAGTCCTAGACACTCATGGTGGGCTCCCAAATGAACTTAGGTGCCTAATTTCCATCGTTAGGCTTCACTGTTATCTTCAAAATGCCTAAACTCAATGAATGGTTAATTTATTGCCTCTGCTCATGCATACTAGTACTTCAGGTCCAGTGCCCACATGTTTATCTCCCATCCGAGACCCAAAAGCCTTCACAAAAGAGATTGAAGAATTAAATAGAATTGAGGCAGAGAGACTGGCATTAGAGTCATTCTAAAAGTTAGAGCACTACCCTGAGAGACAGTAGATCCCTGTTCAAATCCTTCCTCCTCTGCCACATCCTAGGCTAAACATTATGAAGTAAGTTGTCCCGTCCACCTGTTCTGATTTTAGTCCCATATGCAACGTTGGGGGCCCAATAGCTGTCTTCCCCATTTGTGGATCACTGTGGGAGGTGGGTACTGCCTTGCAGCTTGTATTTAAGTGCCTGTTTCCAAGAGAAGGGCAGGAATTATCACACACCCTCTGATAAATATCTCCCATTGGCTAATTTTAGCTCCTTCCCACTTAGCATGCTGGCTTTGTGGATTGCTTTCTTAGATACTCATCTTTCTCCATTCAATGTATAGGGTGCTTAGGCACCTAATTCAGGCTTTGTGGCGAGCGGTGATATTCCTGTGATTTACTAGGCCACCTAAATGTTAGGTGCTGTGATGTGCAGCATTGTAACACATAGATTCCATCTTTAGCTCCCAGAGTTCTGAAAAGGAATGTCATGGGAACCTGGGAATTGCCATACTGGATCAGGGCAATGGCCCATTCAGTTCTTCTAATCTTTTCCTTTTGTCAAGTATCTTTTGCTTCAGGAATAATTCATTTTCTCCATAGGAAAGTTATTTGGTTACGTGCCACAGAATCAAAATGAGCTATCCTATCTGCAAACTACAAATTCCATACCTAATTCCATTGACATCAGTGGAAAGCCTCCAATTTAAATTGGTTTTGATACAAACTCTATATTCTTGTACTGTTGTACCGAAATGTTTTATATAATGCCTTATTCCCTTTGCAACTTTCTGAACAAGCAGACCCCCATTTTTAACTATCAATTCTGTTTTTTATACACCACAGTAATTCCTTTAAATGTAGAACATTTGCTCCTGGTTTACTACAGAGTTGATAAGATAGAAGTCTGGCCTAGAGAGTCCAGAACACTAGGTAGTAGGTAGTTAGAACCTTTGATATCTTGTGTTCTTATTCATTGAAAATATTTCATGAGTTTACTCAAATCTTCATTTAATTCCACCTTTCAAAGCCTACTTAAGTACATTAGAGTCCTGATCCTTATGCATATAATTAACTTTGATTCCAACCTACTAAGTGGGGTTATTCAAAGTAGTACTGGAAACAAGCCCACTTGGAACCAGCAGTAGAAGGAAGATTAGAGGCAAAGAAGCACTGGGCTGGATTTAGGGGAACTAGTCTGAGAATATTAGATTGTTTTAATGGCACCCAGGGCAGCACTTTTAGGTACTTTTAGGGCATGCTTTTTATGTGCATTAAACTCACACAGCTCTTTAACTGAAAATGAGGCCGCATAAAAGTCCAAAATTGGTCACAAGAAGTCACTCTAGAAAATATTGGGCCCTATAATTTTTCTGCATTTCAGTTTCCCTTATTTGTGTAATAAGGATTTTTTGCTCACACAGAGGTGTTGTGACGATTAATTAGTTAATGTTTGCATTGTGCCTGGAAGAAGTGAAGTGTTAAGTATTATTATTACAGTGCTAGGAAGTTGTAGAGTGCCAAGTATTGCTATTAACAATGCTCTCACTTATTTTCCTTTGTCTCAGAGACAAAACAGTAATTTCCAGCCTTCTGATTTTTTGGAGCATATTGTGATTTAATTTCATTAATGTTTCCTATTTGTTTATTAAATTTTATATCCCAGTCTCTGTGGAACACCCATGATTGTCTGTACTTTTAAGGTCACCAAATAACCCTGAGAATGCTAATAGAGATGTAATATCAACACTCATGTGGCTGTGTCTAAACTACATCCCTTTTCTTGAAAAAGGGATATAAATTAGACACTTGGATATTGCAAATGAAGCCAGGATTTAAGTTTCCTGTGCTTCATTTGTATAATGGTGGTCGCGGTATTTTTGAAACAGGGCTTTTCGAAAGAAAAAATGGTCGTTTAGAAGGGGATCGAACAAAAATAAAACACTTTTTGAGGAGTACAGGATCTTTTGAAAAAGGGTTTTATTTTCGATCGATCCCCTTCTAAACGACCATTTTTTCTTTCGAAAAGCCCTGTTTCAAAAATACCGCGACCACCATTATACAAATGAAGCACAGGAAACTTAAATCCTGGCTTCATTTGCAATATCGAAGTGTCTAATTTACATCCCTTTTTTGAGGAAGGGATGTAGTTTAGACACAGACTTAGTATGCTAATGCCATATGTCTGTTTATTGACAACAGCTGAAGCACTATCAGTAAGATAGGACTAAATGTGTTCTGTGCTCAGTTTACTTCCCACAAGACATTATAGGTAATTTCATAGTTCAGTATTTAGATGCGACATTTCCTGGATTTGGTATTTAAGGAGATAGCCAGACGTAGTTAAATATCAGTATTTCACAGACAGAAACTTTTCTAGGTCTGCAACTGAAGCCAGGGAGTGCTAAATGAATCTGTGGAAATAGGAG